GGCGCCCAGTCTGCTGGGGGAGACCCGGCCCCCACCTCGGGCGACGCTGGCCTAGGCTGGAGGGGCCACCCTGCAGCCCCCGCCTATCTGCTTCCTCCTCCAGGAAGGCCTCTCCCCATTTCCTTCCTGCCTCCCTTTGCTTCCTGTGCCCCGTCTCCAGACTCTGAAAGACTGGGGTGTGGGAACAGCCAGCGTCTGGTGCGTGCGTGTGCGCGTGTGCCCGTGTCTGGGTGTGTGCACGTGTGTGCGCACGGGCACGCGTGGCCTCATGCATTTCTACGGTGGAGAAAACCTGGCTGGGGTCGAGCCACCCTGCCAGCGTAGGGCGAGTGGGTGCACCTCCGGGCCTCAGTTTCCTCACGTGTTCAGTGGGGGCGTCGGCAGGGCTCCCCCCACGGGCTTGTGGGGAGTGACGTGGCAGGTGGCAGCACCGTGCCAGGCCGCTGGCGGAGCTGGAGGGCAGTGACCACGGCATGGGCGTGTGCATGCATGTGGGTGCGGGCGTGTCACGTGAACATTCTCGCGCTGGATTGAGTCCCTTAGGGATGGAGGGACACATCCTCTGAGCTTGAGGGGCCCTGCCTCGCTGCGTGACCTGTCAGGGTGCCCATCTCCTGGTCTCCGTTGCTCAAGCCTTTAGCAGAGGCGGTCGGGCCGGAGCCTTTTGGTGAAATCCAGCCCTGCCTGCCCCGGGGACCATACCAGGGACAGAGGAAGGTCCCAGCAGGCTGGCAGTGCCCCAAGCAGGGGAGTCCGCGGGGCCAGGGTGCCCGCCCACCCTGGACGCCCCTCCCCACCTCCCAGCTTCCCTCTCGGCCCCAGGAGCCTGGGGTGGGCTGCGGAGTCTGTGGCAGGTCGGGGCGTCTCACTCTGGCCGAGGGGCTGCCGCTCCTCAGGTCCGCAGGTCTCTGATGCTGCGGACCTGGTTGTGTTGGGGGTGCGCCTCCTCCCAGGTGCGTGTTTCTGGGGGGTCCTCTCGGGGGCACCCGGCATCGTCTGCCTGGCACACTCGGGACTGGAGGGTCGGGAGCCCGTGTCTCCAGACGTCTCCTGCCTGAGGCTTCCCGGCGCCAGCAGCACGTGAGTCAGACACGACAGCAGCTAGAAGGTGACGGAGCTGGCAGAGCACACGTCCCGGCTCGCCCCTGCCCCCTGCGCCGTCTGTAAACAAAACCATAATGTTTATAATGACGCCGCTCAGAGCTGCCGGCTTTCTCGGCTTCAAAGTGCTTCACAAAGAATTCGCTAATTAATTCTCGGCCGCCCCCGAGGAGGCAGGTGTGAGGAACCCCCCTCCCCGCCCTTGCGAGCTTGGGCTCCCTGGACCCCGGGGCTGTGGAGAGCAAGCACGTCCCCCGTAATCGGGCCACGTGGCGGGAGCCTGGGAGCAGGAGGTGTGGTGACAAGCTGCGAGCGTCTCCGCGGGTGACAGGCTGCGAGCGTCTCTGGGGCACCTCCTCGTGGACTCAGCCCCACACGGGCGCTGTCACGCGTGTTCCAGGGCTGAGAAAGCTGGAGCCCAGCGAGGCTGTGGTCTGGCCCAAGCCTCACAGCTGTCGGGGGTAGAGCGGGGTCTGGGGACCTGGCGCTGTGCAGCTCAGAACCTGCCGCTGTAAGCTGCCCTCTGTCCTGGTGATCGAGCTGAGCCTCGTGCCTCCCCGTGTCCTGGCTCGGAGGATCTAGGGTTCCGCCGAGGACACAGCCATTCTCAGGGTCTGAGGGACACAGGCCTGCTGGGTTCTGGGTTCCTGTCGCCCTGGGTGCTGGCCCAGTCAGCCCGTGTAGCTGCCTCCCGCCGGGCTGGCTCTGCTGGCCTGTGACCCTGTCTGCTGTGACAGAGGGTGACCCAACGCCCCCATGCCGCGGGGTCGGGAGGCCTGGCTGGGGGGCGGGCTGGAGCCCAGCCAGCCTCCATAGCCCCGCCGGCTCCTTGCCATCTGCCTGCCAGCTTGTGCTCTTCACGCGGCTCCCAGCTGCCGTCACTTTCCAGAAGAGCCAGACTGGGAGCGCGTGGGCTCCAGGCCTCCCCAGCTCAGCCGGTGAGCCCCGACGGTGTCGGCTGGCCGTCCTTGAGCCTCGCCACCTGGACGAGAAGTCCCTGGCTCGTGACTGTCCTTCGGGTCTCGGAGAGCACAGCCCGTGGCCCGGGGCGGCCCTGAGTAGCCATGTGTTGGCACGGGGGTGGGGGAGAGGTGCAGGGCCTGCCTCCGGGGAGCCCCGAGGCGCCAGAGGGGGCACAGAGAGCCCCAGTATCTCTGAACGGCTGTCAGTGGGGGCCCGGCGAGAAGCCGTTGGCTCGGGCTGGTGGAGAGGTGTTGGCGGGGCCTGTAACAGCGCCGTGGGCTCCGCAGGCAGGGGACCCCCACACCCCGACCTGCAGGAGGGAGGGGAGGTAGGTGTGCAGAGCCCAGGGGTCTGTGGCCTTAGGAAGAAGTGGCTGCTGAGAGCTGGCGGGCAGGGCGGGTACTGGAGCCTTGGGCACCCCTTCCCTCCTGTTGGTTCCATGCGTGGCCAAACCATCCAGAATCCAAGGGGGGTGGGCCTGGGGGAGGCCACCCCAAGCTCAGGCCTTTGGAGCCAGGGCAGGGGGTGGGGCTGGAGGTGCAGAGGTGGCCATGACAGCCAGTGTCCGTGAGGACAGAGGACTGTCTGCACCACGGGGACAGGCTGGGGGACGGACGAGCTGGTCTGAGGCCTGGTGGGGGGGCCCTCCTACCCTCTGGGAGGCGCTGCCAGCTCAGGACCGTCTGGAGCAGGCCCTGGGGTCATGAACCTGGCATGGGTCAGAAACAGGGAGGGGGTTCCGGGTGGGGTTAGGAGTCGGGGGACAGAGAGGGAGGGAGGCTGCAGCATCTGGCACCCCAGCGGGCGTTCTCGGGAGGCCTGAGTCCCCACGCCAGGCCTGGCGGGAGGCGGGGCAGTAGGCCAGGGCGCCTGCAGCTGTCGGAGCCAGCCGACCTGGGTGCTCCTGTGGGAGTGTGACGGGGGAGCATGTTCGGCTCCTGCAGCCGCTCTATGCTAGGGTCCCCCGGGAGCAGGCTGTTTACTAGGGCCTCTCAGTCACCCAGGGAGCAGCACGGTCACTGGGGAGGTGGGGAGGGGCCGCCACATGGCCTAGGCCCGAGCGGGGTGGGCTGGGGCTCGTCCCCCACCTTCAGCAGGGCCCAGCGTGTGGGGGCGGGGGTCCGCAGAGGGCACGAGGGCGCACGCCCCGAGGTCCGCCCTGGAGGGTGCGCCTGGGAGTCAGGGCTGCGCCGTGGCTCAGAGACGTCTCCCGTCCCCTCTCCCGAGGGCCGACCACTGCCAGCGCCCTCTGTTCTCACGACCCCGGGTGTTCCTGTAGGGAGGGAGCCTCCAGTGCCTCCCGTGCCTCCCGTGCCCAGCCTGGGGGTTCTCCTGGCTCAGAGGGATCCCCATCCCGTACTGGGAGCCTGGTGGACTGGGGTGCGGCCCCCGAGGAGGGCCCAGCTCTGCCTGCTCCGGTCCTCTCAGAGGTCCGTGGCCCTGGGCTGGGGCTATTCCAGGCCCTTGTCGCAGCCGATGGGCCTGTGCACAGAAGTCCCACACAGTGCTCTGCAGGTGTGTCCCCAGGGGCCACGTCTGGGGTGGGGACCGAGGAGCTGGTCCCGAGGAGGCTGTGGACGCCCTGGGAGTCCGGCAGGGCAGGGTTGGGGGCGTCAGGACAGCTTCTCTGACCACAGGAGGGTCAGCCTAGGGAGGGCCACCCGTCCTGGTGCTGCTGCCCACCACACAGTGCATCGGGGACGTCCCTGGGAGGCCCCGCCCTGGCACGCCAGGCTGACGCACGGTCTGGCCCAGGCTCCAGCAGTGCTATGTGAGCAGCATCCCCTGTCCCCCTAGCAGGCCTCAGGCCATGGCTTCTTCCCTCTGCCAACTCCTTCCTGTCTGGTCTGGGGGTCCTCGCTGCTCCCACCAGAGAGGCAGAGGAGACGTGGGGTCAGCTCAGGAGGCTGCAGGAGCGCCGAGGGGGTTGGCCTGGCTCTGGTTCGAGGTTGTAGCCCACCCGCGGGGTGACCCCAGAGGTGCCCGGCCCGGCCTGGGAAAGGGCAGCTTCAGCTGCAGGACTGTGAGCATCCACCGTGGGCGCCCCGGCCTCGACCTTCCCCCCACGTGGATATCTTTGGGGACAGAGGAAGGGCACCCCTCTGTCTCTGCTTTCCCTCACTGGCTGCTCTTCCTGGGCTGCCCAAAACCTGTCCACCCTGGACCACCCCGGACCACCCCGGACCACCTGCTTGCTCGGGCCTCCCGCTCGGTGCTGCCCCCTCCGCCTTCCGCCTGTGTCTGGGCCTTCGCTCGTGCCACCTCCTGTGTTGGAGCCATTATCCCCGTTCTCCTGCTTCGGGCTCGTTGCCTCTTCTTCCGGGAAGCCTTCCCGGCTTTGCCTGAGTCCACAG